TGTTATCTTATTAACTGTGCTTAATTGATAAGTTGAGCTTTATCATTGGTATGTATGTATGTATAGGAAAAGACATAGTGTGTGTAGGGTTTGGTACTGTCTGCGGTTCAGGCATCCACTGGGGGTCTTGGAATGTATACCCCTAGGAAAGGGGGCACTGCTATGGGAGACAGACACTGCCTCTATTCTTAACATAAAATCTCCCCGGCTTACTTGACTCTTTTAGCCAAGTCCAATGAGGGCTGGATTTCAGAGGCTACATAATAAACACAGATGCTAAGAGTGAAATCCCATAAATACTTGGGTGTTGCTTGACAATACAGTAGCAGGCTGGGAGGGATAAGTCTGAAGTACCTTTGATGCTATTCTGAGGTTGTTCTTTATCCTCGTGAGCCAGTGAAGGATAAGCCATGGCTAACTGATCCACAGATTTGGAGCTTCTTGGTGAATCAGTTCATTTTTCTAGACGACTTAGCCCATCTATAAAGTTCAGTGATCTCACCCTGGCTGGTTTGGCTCAATGGATAGAGCGTCACCCTGCAGACTGAAGGGTCCCGGGTTGGGTTCTGGTCAAGGGCACGTACCTCTGTTGCAGCTCCTCCCCGGCCCCGGCCCTAGTCAGGGCATGTTCAGGAGGCAACCAATCAATGTGTTTCTCTCACATCTTTATCTCTCTCTTCCACCATCTTTGGAAAGAAAGGAATTGAGTATACTTCCTCCCCCCTCCCTCTTCTCTTTCTCTCTTTCTCCCCCCCTCCCCCCCAAAAACCATTATTTATTATTACAGAGATGCCTTCTTAGAAAAAGGTGACTAAGCAGGGGTTTGTAAGAGCTTTGAAATTTAAAATGTCTTCTTATCGAGTGCTGTGCATACTTGGGCAGGGATTCATGCAATGTCTATTTTGGAAGTCATCAGTTGTTTAGGAACCTAATTCCCAACATGATAGCATTTCAAAGCATTATGGAAATTCAGAATAGCAAATGATCTAACTTTTATAATTCGATATGCCTGTATCAAAAAGAGAACTGATAATGTAAAAATAATTTCTGCCTTTATACTAATATTGTATGCCAATGTTTCTATGAGCTTTTTATTTTATTTTTTATTTTTTTAAAATATATTTTATTGATTTTTTTTTTTTTTGCCCCCCTCCCTCCCTCCCATACATCCCTCCCTCCCCAGAGTTTTGTGTCCATTGGTTGTACTTATATGCAGGTATAAAAGTCCTTCGGTTGATCTATTATCTCCCCCAGATCTTCCTCCCCTCCCCGCTGTAATTTGACAGTCTACTTGTTGATATACTGTCTCTATATCTATCTTTTGGTTCATCAGTTTATAATGCTCTTTATTATCCACAAATGAGTGAGGTCATGTGGTGTTTCTCTTTCATTGATTGGCTTATTTCACTCAGCATGATGTTCTCCAATTCCATCCAGGTTGCTGCAAATGATGAGAATTCCTTCTTTTTTATGGCAGCATAGTATTCCATTGTGTAGATGTACCATAGTTTTTGGATCCAATCATCTGCTGACGGACACTTTGTAACTTACTGGAATTTTGTAGTTGTAGGGTGCAAGAAGGTGATAACAAATAATAGAGAAAAAATAAATGTCCAAATAGGTAGTTCTTCTTCAGAATGTTTCCTTCTTATTATCTGGTCTTTCTTTTCAGTGACTATGTGTGATTTCTATTTATAATAAGAAAGCATTACAATTTGCTATAACACTTCAGCTCAACAAAATTTAAGTTGATAAATTTAGGCCATATCATTAGGCCAGGATATCAGGTAAATGGAAAAAATGAAAGAGATCATGGGTCCTGCCTTGCTTATGGTTTCAGTACTATAGTATTGGAATAATAGATACTATAGGTAATATTTTGAGTCCACTGGTTAAAAAAACAAACAGGAAAAATGATAAACCCACATTTTTAAGATTGTGATAAACTTCTTTTAAACTTTATAGATTTTTGTTTTATCTGCTTTAATTTGTTTCATTTCATTATTATATATTTTTAAAAATTCACATCACATATCTTAAACATTACTCTATTTCTTTATAACACCATAATATTATGATTACATTTCATACTGATTATTGGAATAACCATTTTAACATCTATCCAGTTCGGTATCCTCTATTCCTCTAACCCCAATGACTAATGTCTCTATTTCTGAGTAAGTCACACTTGGTGTAACCAGTGTTCTTTGTTTCCCCCAACTCCCATCTTTATAATCATGATTCTTTTTTAAAAAAATATATATTTTATTGATTTTTTACAGAGAGGAAGAGAGAGAGAGAGAGAGTTAGAAACATCGATGAGAGAGAATCATTGATCAGCTGCCTCTTGCACACCCCCTACTGGGGATGTGCCCGCAACGAAGGTACATGCCCTGCCCGGAATCGAACCTGGGACCTTTCAGTCTGCAGGCCTACGCTCTATCCACTGAGCCAAACCGGTCCCGGCTATAATCATGATTCTTTTAGAATGAATTCTGCCTTTGATACTTTTCTTCAGTGATGAGTGGAGTTAGTGTAAAACTAAAACCTATGAGAAAAGGAAACTTAACTTGGTGATGTTTTTCTTTATTCTTATTTTTTGTAGGGAAACTAAACAGCCAAGACTCCTACAATAATTTTGCCAACAACAACCCTGGCAACCCTCGGCTCTCTCCTCTCCCCAGCTTGATGGTCTTGACGCCTCTTGCACAAATCAAACAGCCAATGACGTTGGGGACCATCACCAAACGAACAGGGTAAGGCCTCAGGCTTGACACGTTTTTAATAGCTGTGTTAGACGATTGAATGCATAAAAGAAAGCATACTTTTTGTTTCGATGCTTTTGATTATGTTTTTCATTTCCAGTCCATATGATACTTAATGGTAGCAGGTTAAGTCCAAAGCATAGAACAGGCACAAATATACTTGCACACAACCCTGTTCACACACATTCGGAGAAAAAACAAAGCAGTGACAAGTTGTGAAAACGAGTGTTCGCTAATAAAAACCAGATCTAGCTAATTAGTCTTTTACTTGCTGCCTTGTGGCTTTGTCTGAAAGTACAGTTTCATTTTCTTGCTTTTGTGGACATGATCTGGACTTCAAATGACTTCCAAATTTTGACAGACACACCTACTAAGATGAGAACTTCAGATGACAACCATGTTTCTAATACTCTTAAAAAATATCTATATTGAGGTATAATTTACCTGTCTTTACTGTTAGGACAGTGTGGAGCAAAGGGTAGTTTTCAAAAGCCAGAATCGTAAGATTTGGCCTTTACTCAAGATTGGTCGTTAACATCCTCAAAGACTTGATGATTCACTTAATTCATATCTTTGTGCATATTTTAGCTATTTAAAAATTTAAAACAATTCCTACCTGCTAGAAATCATTACATTTTTTTTGTTCTTGAAAAATAAAGTGTTGTGTCTAAGATATCAGATATTCAATTTTGTGATCACTTTGAAATTAATTTATATCTGAAAGTATATATCTCTATACGCAAATTACCTATTTTCATCAATAAGCAATTCTGGGCTTTAACCTAATTTGAAATGGAACAACTGCCTAAAAATTATTCAGCTAGTCAGGAAAAAACCCTTTCTTGGCTTCAAGTATCCTTCAGGGCCTTTCCCACAGGAGGATGAGGTTAATTATTTGGCTGTCTTCACATTGTTTGCTCGGTGGTAAAATGTTTCCGGAGGTCATTTTTGTGAGAAGAATTACTCATTCTCAGGAACCAGGCCTTTGAGCTCCAGATTCTATCATAACACTGAAATGGACCCTCTCCCTAGTAGAGTCATTTTTGTATATAAAATGATCCTTCTGCTCAATGCAGGAATAAAGTTGAGTTTGTTGCCTATGAAGTGGGGGGAAATAAAAAATACAGCAAATGTAGGTCCAAAATCAGCATTGTATAAATTCTACTTAGGAGGTTTTGACTCTTTCCTGTTCAGAATTATTCTTGAAATTGATTTTAGTTTTTACTAGTGTTTATGTTTGTTATTTTATTTTATTTTTTAAAAATATATTTTATTGATTTTGTACAGAGAAGAAGGGAGAGGGATAGAGAGCTAGAAACATCGATGAGAGAGAGTCATCGATCAGCTGCCTCTTGCACACCCCCTACCGGGGATGAGCCTGCAACCAGGGTACATGCCCTTGTTGGAATCGAACCCAGGACCTTTCAGTCCGCTGGCTGACGCTCTATCCACTGAGCCAAACCGGTTTTGGCTATGTTTGTTATTTTTAAAACTTAATAGACATGCTTTATTTTTTTATTTTTTTATTTTTTTTATTTTATTTATAATCCAAAGACTTAGCTCTCTTTAAAATAAACTCCTTTCTCTATAGTGACTGTAATTATACGCATGAAATCATATGATGTTAGAATTTAATTAAAAAATACTTGTTGGAGGGGTAGAAAATGAGCCTACTTTTGTATATATTTATAAATTTCCATAAAACAAATAAAATCTCTCTTTTTCATTCTCTCTGTTCTTAGTCAGGGAGAAATTATGAATTATCTAGTCTTTTTCTATGCAACCATATTTTATAAACTCAGATTATTTTTGTTTCCTTTTATTTTAAATGTTTTATTTTTTTAATTACAGTTGATATTCAGTATTATATTATTTTAGGTGTGCAGCATGGTAGTTAGACATTTTTGTAACTTATGAAATAATCACCCCATTAGTCTAGTATTATTTTCTTTTTGAAAAGTTGTTTACAAATCCTACATTTTTGAAATATTATTTTTATTATTTTATTTTTTACATATATGTCCCTATTCCCCCCAAAATCCTACATTTTTAAAGCATGTATATTGGACTCTCTTTTATTATAATTAATATAATAATTATTAATGAATTAAATATACATGTATCATTATTTACTAGACTTTTTTTTTTACTAGACTTTTTATCTCAATTATGAAACCTTTATTTCTGCAAAGTTTTTGAATTTTTAGCATGTCTTTTATAAAAGCATTTAGAGAGAATAATTAATATTTCTTATAATGAGTACTTAGTTTAAAATTTTTACTATAATTCACCCGAACATTTGGTCATAGAATTTTCAGAATGTAATTTGTGATTTTATAACTTAAACATTATCATTTACATGGAAATACATGTATTTGCCTTACCAAAGGTTATATTTGTTGACACATGTAGAGATTTGAAACAAATCCCAGACATTTTATATTATATTTCATCTCATTAGATTTGAAAGGCTCTATTTTATTTTAGTTTTATTTAAAAAAATTTTTTCTATGACCAGTTCTCAATACTACACTTAGCTAATTTGCATTATTTCCAATTCAATTTTGTTGTACTTTCTGAGAAATTTGATTGCCACGTTAAGGTCAGCAGAGTGATGAGCAAATGGGCTTTTCATTTTCCAGGTCTCTTTTCATTCTGGAAATTCTAATGTACTCTTTTAAAAAAAAATGTTTTTATTGATTTCAGAAGAAGGAGAAAGAGAGAGAGAGAGAGAGAGAAAGAGAGAGAGAGAGAGAGAAAGGGGAAGGCACATCAGTGGCAAGAAAGAATCATTGATCGGCTGCCTCCTGCACACCTCACACTGGGGATGGAGTCCACAACCCTGGCATGTGCCCTGAATGGGAATTGAACCATGACCTTCTGGCCAATGGTCAACCACTGCGCCATGCCAGCTGGCTAATTCACTCTTTAAAAAATAAATGTTTTTTATTGATTTTTTATAGAGAGAGGAATTGAGAGGGAGAGAGACAGAAACATCATTTGGCTGCCTCCTGCATGCCCCAGTTGGGGGGTGAGCTGGCAACCTGGGCATGTTCTCTAACCAGGAATGGAATGGATGAACCAACAACCTCTTGGTGCATACATAGGACGATGCTCAACCAACTGAGCAGCACTGGCCGGGTCAATTTCCTCCTAACTCTGCTTCTATGAAGTGCCTTTCCTAGCATATGAAAAATAACATTAATAGGAAGTATTTGACTTGGATAATGTAGAAAGAGAACTCAGCACTTTCTACATTATCTAGAAAAGTTATGTACTTCCTTAGGTGAGATCAACATTTATTTGTTCCATGTCAATAGAACAAATTGTTCCATGTCATAGACATGGAGCAAATAAAAAGTTATATTTCTAGCACAAAGATTTCCACGGATTGCCTATGATCCTATATTTAAGTAACTGAATTGAGATAGCAGCCTCAATTCAAACCGTTAGGGGATCAACCGTGTACTTACCAAGTTTCACATCTGCCCTCTTATTTTTGGAAATATATATCCCTGAATGCCTGCGCAGTGTCACGGACCATCTGTCTTTCTCCAAGACATGCATGAGGCCAGTAGAACTAAAATGGCAAAAGACAGATGTACTTACACCTTCATGTTCTGTACCTTGAAGCGGCATTTGGAGGAAATGAGGCCTATTTTGGCAACAGCTGCTGCTTCAACCCACTACAGTGTTCACCGATGAAGGCAAAGGAAGTGCTAGAAATCATTTGGTCAACAATCACTCAAGTCAAACAGAATTCATTTCATCAGTCTCAGATTGAAGGCCTCCATAACGTTTTTATCACTTGTAAATAGGAATAGTTCTCCACATCTATTAAAAATGAAACCAGGTGCTAAAGGATTGTTTCTTGTTGGGGGTATTAAGTTTTTATAGTAGGGATTTACTAAGCAGCGTTTTGTAGATATTTAGTTGAGTTAATGAATCATGTAAGTGGTAAAAAAAATTTTAATGCTTCCTATCTATGTAAAAGTTTACTAAACCATTTTCAGTATGCTTAATTTTATGTGCATTAAATCTAAAATTATTAATATATACATCTCACTTTATGGGCACAGGCAGAGAAGAGTTAATTTCAAAAAGAGGTCAGAGTAATTTCATGGGAATAAAAAAAATATAGAAATGAACTTACTTCCTTGCTCTTCAACAGCTGATCAATTTTAGTGAAGTAAACACAGATAATTTGGTTTCCTTTTCCTTAAATGGAGCAGCTCCCTGCTCTTTTCCCCTCCCCTATTCACTTTTTTTGTGAGCAATTTGAGGTAGATATTAGGAACCTTGGGCTTGACCCTGTAGGTGTAGGTAGGGTATTGTTGTGGGGAAAATGGACTAAGGAGTCTGCAGCCCTGGCTTTTCCTCTTGGTTCTGCCACCTGTTAACTGTGTGTCTTAGGTCAGTTTCTTCATCTGAACAATAAAAATTTATATGTATAGATGATAATCTTTCAGCCTCTCAGTATATGAGTTCCCACCACGCCTTTGATCCCATTACCTGATTTCCAAGCCTCACTCATTGTTGAACACTAGGCCAGTGCTGAGCAATTTCCACCTAGGAAATGTAGATGATTGTGCTTATTTAGAAATGGCAGCATTTAATAGCATGTATTTGGCTATCTCTGGCTGAAATTTGTAGACCACATCTGCCTTTAGAGCTTGTGAAGGTGAATAAATGTCATTGGCATATAGCTTACTGAAGACAGCTTACTATATGGCCTATTCCTTTTACTAATTAGGTCTACCTTGTCTAAACAACTTTCCCTGAGCCCCAAATCACATAGTCAAAATTCTGAGAATTAATAGGAAAGATTTGGTATAGTAACACACGATAATTCTCCACCTCCCAGCTTTGTCTCTTCTAGGTATTTGTCCTTGATAGCTAAGCTATAAATGTTTGGTTCCAGATACAAAATTATGGACAAAGTATTTTTTTCTCACTAGAATGGATATGGGTATATTTACATGTGCAATATACTTATCACAGTTTGAGTTTTCAATTTTTGTGCTGCATCAATAGAGTACTTAAACCACACCATAGTTTGTTCCATTTTACCATATATCTATGGATTTCTTTTTTTTTTGGGGGGGGGGGAGATAAAATATATTATATAATGTATTAAAAGTCAGAAATAACTTTCTACAGATATTCGACAACTTATTTATGCTGTTCTAGTTTCTTTTCTGCCACATCTGCCAGAATTTGAATATTATCTAATGTTTTTCTAATGAAAATCTTGAGTATATAATTTAAATTTGCTCATTGAATATATCTCAAATTGGACAGTTTACCTTATAGTTTTCCCTACAGATCAATAATTTGAGAGCCAATAGTCCCATAGTCTCTTTAGTAGGGAGCAGTTTCTAAGTGAAAGAAAAATTCAAATAACACTGGAAAATGACGTAAGGACTAATTTAGTTGCATGTGAGTCCATTTCAGTTGCTTTTTAACAGGGCACACTGGATGTAGCAGGGTTGTTAGGGCTCCTAGAAGATACTGTTAGAGAAGATGGCTTTACAATTTTACTCATGGTGTCGTATAGTTTTCTTCTGCTTTTTCTCTATTCAGTATGTTTAATATTTATATTTGCTCGTTCTAGAGGCAGTTAAGTGATGGTGCCTGAGTTCTCATTGGGTGTGATAAGTCATAAAATAGGACTTTCAAAGTGTCTTCATAGAGAACGTAAACTCCAATGATTTTGTTAACAGGTGATTGAGTCTAATCATTACTAATGCATTTTTAGCACTAGATTCAGGTTATAGAGGATTTCAGATCAACCTTTTTACTTACATCTAAGAACCTTTCTCAAGTTGCCTTGTTTTTTGCTAGCAAGAACAGAGCTTTGGTGGCGCTAGGTGGAATTCAACAAAATGCTTGAGTTTAAAGACTTACATAGGATTAATGCACGGTTCCTTCCGGTTTTCTGAGTATCTCCAGAACCAATGGCCCAATCAACAAGTCTGTAATAAAGATGTCTTGATATTTAGTCTCTTGATTAGTCCTAGAGTTTGTCAATCAGAATTCAGCTTTAAAAGGACATATTCATGATGAAGAGAACAGGTTTTATATAGCAGGATTGTTAAATCTGCTAAATCTTCATAGTGTTTGAAAAACACACACATTCTTAATATCTGACTTTGATAAATTGAGTTGCATATATTCATATAGGCAATTTTAATTCAACATAGACTCCCACTCTTACCCTCTACTTCCTTCTAATCATCCCATATAAAATTCCAACTGTGGGATTTGGGAGGGGGAGGAGAAAGTCATAGGTGAAGACAGCTGGATCAGGGACTTGTCCTTTGTGACTTTATATTTTCATTCTTTTGCTATTGAGGGAAGATGAAGCAGGCACATTTCAAAAGAACAGCTGACACTACCCATACAAATTCAGTAATTACGTCAGTCACTCTTAATTCCTTGGGGTTTGGGGCTCTTCTCTTACATGTTCGTGGCAGAGGTCCAGTCTGTAGGAGTGGGTAAGAAGTGGTTGAATATAGATTGGGAACACGCCAAGTGTACATTCTAAGGCAGGTTCTCACCCTGTTTCCTCAGCCCTCTGATTTCTCCTTAAGCTGTGTTATCCTTACTTGATTGAAGAAGGATAAAAATATGTTCCCTGTTTATATACAAGGGACACCTAAACCGGCTTTATAGGTGGGGAACATCAGCTAGTCTTTTGAAATATAGAAACTTAAAGGTTTTGTTTTATTTTTGCTTGGTTGGTTTTGAGGGTCATAGGAAACCTTTTAAGTCATAAAGAACTATGATAAAACTACCAAATTCTTTAACAACGAATGAGTAGTCTGGTGTTTGGAATGAGATAGGAGAGTACCCGGCATCGATACAATATACACTAAAGAGCAACTCATGCCTGCATGCTCCAGATCACAGGAGCATTTAAAGAATTTGATTAGTTCAGGTGTTCTGCAGCATGCCGAAAATTAAAGGAAGACGGGCACTGTGAACTAACAGCAACCTTTTCACTTGGGAGGTATTTGTGGGCATGTGGAAATGTATTGAACCTTGCATTTTCTGATCGTTTCTGCATGTCATCTCTATGTGATTGAGAGATCGGAATCTTTATGTGGTCTCAGTTATTTAAATTACTGTTTGTCAAGTTGCCGGGTGAACTGCAAGTAGTATTTTGTTTTCTGCTGTAATTAGTGGATCATGAAACCAAAAAAGGAAATTTTGATTTTTTTTTCCATTAATGAAGTAGAATACAATAAAATGCAGTTCTACCAACACACAGCTTTGGCATCACCTAGGAGCTTGTTAGAGAAGGAGTCTCAGGCTCCACCTAGACCTGCCCTGTTAGAATTTTATTAATCTTTGCTATAACTAAGACCTAAATAGAAAAGTCGATTACAACCAAAACCCATTCATTAACTTGTTTCAATTTGTGTGTTTTTATGTGCACACCAGCTTGCACCTGAAAATACATTTTTATGGGTCACTGTAAAAAAACAAGTTTGAAATCCACTGTTTTAAAATGTGAATGTGGCACTTTATCTCTGGCCATGGTCTTACCATTAACTGTGAAATAAATGTAAGATAAACAAGATAAATGCTCTGCATCATCTGCAAAATTATTTCTTGCTTTCAGTGTCTCAGTTCTTTCATCTCACTCCTTCTTCTACTTACTCCTCTGTTGCCTTGTTCCTAGCTTCTGTGCTTCAGTCCTGAGAATGGTAGTTAGTGTTGTGAAACATTATCCTGGAGTTGCAGTTTCGAGCCAAATATACTCAGTGCACTGGGAGATTAATACTAATTAGCAGGATTTTTGAAAACTCCCTCACACCAAAGTTGAAGAAGAAAATAACCAAGTTTTGATAGTGTGCTTTCCTTCTCAATTTGTTATGTCTTCCTTTCAAATGTCAGATGTCATAGCAACATTTTGTTCCGGGTATAATTAGATCACTCAGACTTCTTTGTGTGCAAATGTGCATAGCACGCCCTAAATACTGTGAACAGAGTATTAAGAAGAAATGTGTGTAACACTGAAGTCTGACTTTGTACCCCCAGTTGTATCTAAAGCAAGCAATTGTGGCTTTAGTTTCCTGATTCCGGCCTCACCCAATGGCGGTCAGGTAGAAGAAGCTAATCTCTTGTATCTAAGAGAATGGCCAGTTTCCTGGAATGTGACCCTAAATGAAAATAAATCCTCCTACTTGTATTTAGTGTTTGTTTCTTTGACCAGCAATATGCAGTCCAACTTACTATAAATGAACAGCTTAGAAATATGGGCTTCCTTGCTCTGGCTCTGAGACTGCAACCTGTGAACTGCAGACAATGCTTGTAGAATATTGCTTGAGTTATCTTTAGCTAGTTTTAAACATTCGGCGTCACACAACCCCACATCTGTTGCTACTGATCCCACTCTTTTCTCCATCCGATCACTCCATTTAACTTGTGCTTTGTTTTAAAGAGCCTCAGAACTGAATTTATTTTATTTTACCTATGAACCCTATCGGGTTGCTCCAGAAAAGGGGGAGAAATAGAACATTTTGAAACCTCTAAGCCTATGAAAATGCAGGGACTTGTTATATATAATTTTTATTGGTTCTATCAAGCTCATTCGTATCTACAGCAGAATTATCAATGATTATTATTTTTTCAGTGATTTACCATACTCAATAACAGTATGCTATACATGTATTTTGTTAATGTTAAATGAGTTTTCCTCTAATTTTTTGTGTGTGCATTTTCCCCCCTTTTCCACGAAGGCCTTATCTGTTTGGAGCGGGGTGTTTTTCCATAAAAGCTCCATGGTGAGTCCCAGTTCAGTCCCGCATGCCTAATTCATTTGTTGTACTCTCAGAAAATAACTGTTTTGTACTGTTGTTTCAGTTGCATGGCCTGAGCACAGATAGATGTACCGAAGTACTGAATAATTCATGTAGATGGGACATGAATGTTGATAGTTAAGCTTTCAAAGAGCAGTTTTCTTGGGTTTACTTCATTTCTTGAAAAGTCAAATGAAATCACAGTTAAATATTAAAGAAATGAGAAGAGTTCTCTCTTATAATGCCAGTGTATAAGACAAGGCTAACATGCCAGTTTAAGGCTTTGAGCCTTACAATAATACAAGCTCCCTACACCTCCTGCTGAACATGTGGAAGATTTGATTTATTTTGAAATATAAATATATTTAAAGTATACTATAAATACCCTATAAATTTTAACTGCATGTGGTACCAGTGGAACAAGAGTCACTTCTGTTTTGAATAATTTTGGTGTTTGAGGAGGAAATTTGTGTTTCACATTGAAACTCTTAAATAATTTATAATTTTGAGCTCATAGCACCTACTTTTCATAACTTATTTATTTTGGAAAATTCTTATATAACTGCATAAACTACAGTTTTGTCTTGTAGTTAGACACGATGAACATGGAATACTTTTATATAAAGATGTGAAGTAAAATGTATTTAGAACCTGGTATAGTGTGTTTTACATAATGGATAAAAGTCAGGGCTTTGGTATCTGACTACCTAGATCTTAGCTCGTATGCTACGTATGTGATCTTGGGTGGTTTTCTAAAATCTTTCTATTTCTTGTTTCCTTATCTGTTAATTGAGTTACCAGTAGCACCTAACTCATTATGAGGATTACATGAACACATGAATGTGTTGCTACTATTATTTTCTTTCTTATTCAAAGAAAAAAATATCATTTTCAAAAAAACTTTAGATTTTTTAATTTTTAATTTATTTTTATTTTATTTTTTTATTTTTTTGCTTTTCAGAGTAAGTGAGGCAAAAGGAAGTTTTGGGCAATGTAAGTTATATCAATATTATAAATTTACTCAGAATACTTACAAGAGTTCTGCACATATAATAAGTAGTTCTCATAACTGCTGATAGGAGTTGTTTATACTGTCCCATTATACTAGGAAAAGAAACTTCCAATAATTTTTCTCTTGTTGGACAAAAAGAAGGTCAAATACCATCTTTAGGGTACAGTTTAATTAGACACAAAGTAATTTCACTATTCATATGCCATAGAAACATTTGAAAATTTCATTATCATATAATAATAGAGTGGCAAATATAATAATTTCCTTTGTGAAATGTAGTATTAAAATTAGGACACAGGTCGTGAAAGGATTCTAAACAAATTTAGGGCCTAAATGAATAAAAATTCCATGAAAGTCCATATTTATCTTTTTATTAACCAGATTTCTTAAACAAAACAAAACAGAACAAAAAACCAACCAAACAAACAACAAAACAAAACAAAAAATACTAAACCAAATAAGATACATGAATTTTACTTAGGAGCTTATAGTAAGCAGTCAATTTTTAAATGCCAGATTCAGCATATGATACAATTTCTTTGCAAGGTTAAATTTAGAATTAAATTCACTCTTAAGATAAATGTCTCATTCTAAATACAAAGAAAAGAGTTTTAGCATGTTAATAAGGATTGAAGTTTTAGCATAGAAGTAAAGACGGAGTAACAAATGTTGTATGTTAAATTAGAAAAGTCCATTCCTTCAACAGCTTATGTGCTCCTCAAATTTAAGCAAAAGCACTTGTCAACCAGAAATGATTTGAGGTTGAAACAAGATTAAAAGAGCCAGATTAAAGAAAGGGATATGTGAAATATAGTAGACTTTTAAATCATTGCCTGTCTTTTAGAAGACTGCCTTGTGGTTTGTTTGATGCCATCGTTAGCTCACAAGAAACTCGTTTTTAGTCACTTATGCTAGCCTACAAGATCCTCCTTTCAAATGCATTCCTTTACTAGTGGTGCATGTTTTTCCCATTAGGATCTTAATGAAACCTCAAATTAAGGCTGCAAAATGAATATAAATTTGACAACTTCCATGTTGTTTATAAGAGCTTCTTTGTTTTAACAGTTTTGCTATTTTTTTCCTATGATATTTGGCATTCAATTTGAGAATGTTTTATTTACTGTTCTGACATAGAACATTATGCTAAATAATTATGTTTATAGTATTTCCACTTGTAGGGTAATATTTGTATTGTGGAAGAATATTAAATTTTTTACAGTTCCTCTTAAAACATTACATAAATTTTATACAAAATTGTTAGTATTTTCAAGTTGCAACATTTATATTTAAATATGATTTTGCTTTTGATAGGTCACAATTTCTACATATTTTTCATTCTTTGATAAACTTGTTTAAATGTTTAAATGCATGCATTTTCAAATAAGTCAGTTTGAAATAATGACTTTCCCTTTGATAGTAAAATAAACTTGTTGGAAAGTTAACCGTGTAGGCCATCTTCGACATATTAGCTACGTACACGTTCCCAGGATTATGTTTACTCTAGGATATTAGAGTTTGAATGACGGTAAAAAATAAAGTAAAATAATCACACATATGATATGCTTTTTTAATACAGTAATTTTGAGAGATGTACCATTGTGAATTTTTAAAAGTAAATTTTGCTTTCAGTATTACAAATAAGTAACAAGTACTTATTGAGCTCCTAATGTTCATGTAGTATTGTGTTTAAGCTACTGCTATTTTTTTATTACTGATCAAAAGAAAAAATACATATATAACAGTATGGATAAGAGGTAGTCCATTTTAATAGCTCCCTTACACATAACCTATTTTTGTATTATATAAAGTTAATTTTAAAGAATAATTAAATGTTACATAGCAAGTTATATTAAAGTTCTAATAAGCATTGTCTGAGAGTATTCATTTGAAAAAAAAATAGATATATATATTACTTAAACTACCTTGTTCTTTTGAGAGTATTAAAATATAATTTTATTTTTGGAAGGAAAGATTTATATGAAGAGAATCTGTTATGTGCAAAGTTTAGATAAATCTGTGAGATTTTTTTAAAAACACTGTGATAGAATAATTTTAGCTATATTGTTAATATATTTAAAATAAAATACTTTCAGTTTATATTTTAGTTCTTATTTTAGAAAAATAAAGTTGAAAGTGAGAAAAAACTTCTAAACTCATTTTCAAAGCTTAATTACAGTGAGGCATACAATGAAAATTGCTTCTTTAACACGAAAACATTATGTCACTTGTAATTCTTACATCAGTGTTGTGTCTAGCACTTAAACTGAAATACTGACGGTAGCCTTATGTTTTAGAAAAGGAAAGAAACAGTGTTTCTATCTCCGCCTAGCTCTTTTCATGCCTGTGTTCTTCTAACCAACATTGCTGCTTTTATGCCATCCACAGATACATCACTTACATGCTGTTCTGTAGGACCCAATAAAATCACCCAGATGGCCACCATTTTACTATAATTTTAAAGCAGATAGAGATAGTCTTTCTGGGTTTTTGTTTCTCTTTGCAGTTGGAGGGGAAAAAAAACAAGCAAGAGAAATTCAATACGTTAATCTGACTGGATTATGTAATACAGTAAACGCCAATGGGTAACTTCAATAGTCTTTGTAAATAATTTTAAAGATGTCATAATGATAACGTCCCCAGAATTGCTGATGGCAGTAAAAATGACTCTCATTCTATGATTAGATGGTTAAGTCTCTCAGAAAGGGTGAGCAAGAGGTTAAATTCCTGGGTTTTAATATAGCACCTTGTTTTTTTGTGGGTTTTTTTTTGTATGTTTATTTTACTTTTGATTTTGTTATCTTGTGTCTAGTAAATATGATTCTTACTTTGCCTGATATGATGAAAAAGTTGAGGTCATTCCATTCTTTTATATTTTGTTCAAATACTTGTTTTCTCTTTTGGAACATTGGTTCATTTATGATGGGTTTAGGGGATTAAAGAGCACACCTTCTCAACAGGAAGGAGATCATCTGCACTGTCAGTGTATCCCATTTATAACCATAATCAACACAGTGGAATTTCAGGACACCTGTATACATGGGAATTTCATTTTTTACATCATGTTATTAATTTAATAAAATAATGAATAAAGGAGAGGAGGCCTCCAAAGACCCAGAGGTATTCTTTTTAAACTTGCAAATGTTTTGTGATGGGATTTGAGTATAAAGGGAAATGTTTAGAGGGAAATAGAATTTGGAATGCTTTTCTAAATGGCTGTGCCACCAATCTACCGGTGAACACAATTTACAAGCCTAGCTCTTTCCACTTTTAATTCTTTCACATATTTATCATTTTTCAGTGTTTTATTATTTTAAATATATTTTTATTGATTTCAATTGAGAGGAAAGGAGAGAGAAACATCAATCATGGGAGAGAATTATTTTTTTTCATTCATTTTAAATAAATATTTATTATTCAGATTATTACAATTGTTCCTCTTTTTTCCCCCTAACTCCCCTCCACCCAGTTTCCACCCCAACCTCTATCCTTACCTCCCCCCACTGTCCTCATCCATAGGTGTACGATTTGTCCAGTCTCTTCCCTCACCCCCCCATACCTCTTCCTCCCCCCTTTCTATGCCCCGATTCTATTATATTCACCAGTTTATTCTGTTCATCAGATTTTTTACTCACTTGATGTTTAGATTCACTTGTTGATAGATATTATTTGTTGTTCATAATTTTTATCTTTATCTTTTTCTTCTTCTTCCTCTTAAAGAATATCTTTCAGCATTTCATATAATACTGGTTTAGGGGTGATGAACTCCTTTAGCTTTTTCTTATCTGTGAAGCTCTTTATCAGACCTTCAATTCTGAATGATAGCTTGGGTGGGTAGAGTAATCTTGGTTGTAGGTTCTTGCTATTCATCACTTTGAATATTTCTTGCCACGCCCCCGTCAGGTCTGCATAGTTTCTGTTGAGAAATCAGCTGATAATCGTATGGGTGTTCCCTTATAGGTAACTGTTTTTCTCTTGCTGCTTGTAAGATTCTCTCTTTGTCTTTTGCCCTTGGCATTTTAATTATACGTTGTGGTCTTATTGTTTCATAATGACGATTCTAGTAAAATCACAGTCACTCAATTAGAAACACCTTTCAAAAAATTCTGCAATGGTGTTTTTCTCTTTTTTCCTCCTCTTCAACCTCCTCAAACACTTAGTAAGTGTTAAATCACCAATGGAATTTAAAAGATGCTTCTTACAGGAACTTAACAGCTCAATGATAGTAGTTCAGGGATGGAAATAAAGGCTTTGAGGGAGGATAGTACAACAGAGAGCATCTCTACCAGAAAGAGCAATTCTGATGCCGTTCCCCGGGAAGGTGCACACTTGTTCAGGTGGAGCGGACTCTTTCCTTTCTGTTGGTAGCTTATTGTGGTTGTGTGAAGGGTATCGCACTTATGAAACTGTTTCATTTCCTCACAGAAACTTTTTAAAAAACTATATCTTTATTTCCTTCAGTGGAAGTCTGTGACTGGCATTCGTATTTTAGGCATGGGTTTGATCTTTATGGGTAATGACACGAAGTGCTTAAGAGATACTGATGGAAAGCAGAGACCTTTTCATATGTGGAATGTGCATTACATTAGATTTGGTACCAAGGGAGGGACCAAAACGACCAACCACAATGGCCTCTGATCTAAACTTTGTGCCCTCCCTACCAGGAGGGTGTCAAAACCGAGGGCTCGGGCGGTAAAACGTGTGAGACTATTTTAGGTGTCATAAGGGTCTGAAAACAGATTACATATGCAAACTCTAATTAAAAGAAAAATAGAAGATAGTTAACATTGCTGAGTTTTATGATAAGGGAAAGTACCACCTTTAGAGCTTTATGCACTTTACCCGATAAGGTGTTTCTTATTTATTTATTTATTCATTCGTTCATTCATTCATTCTTTATTGATGAAGGTATTACATACCCTGTTTCCCCGAAAATAAGACAGTGTCTTATATTAATTTTTTCTCCCAAAGTTGCGCTAGGTCTTATTTTCAGGGGATGTCTTATCTTTCCATGCCCTAGGTCTTATTTTCGGAGGATGTCTTATTTTCGGGGAAACACAGTACTAGTAGTCTGAGCTCTGAGAGTTTAAATAACTTAACCCAAAGTCATAGAGTAGTAAGTGGTAGCATTGGGATTCAGATTTAGGTTTCTTTCTGACTCCCCACACCAATTCTTCTACATCCAGCCATACGTCATTAAAAGATGAAGAGATAAAGGACAGTGAGCAAAACAAGGTAGAAATAAGGTTACTCAGCATTGGAGACTGACTCGCAAAGCGAGCTCTGTTATTCCTGTGCCCCAAGGAGGCTGTGATCATGACCAGTGTGCAGGGAGCCTGTTGTCTATAAGTTAGAGAACATAATACCATCACTTATCGAAGGTGTTTGACAAATTGCTAATGAGCTTTGGGAAGGCTTTGACAAATCAAAAGAGAAGGGAAATAAAGGATTTGAAAGAATAGAAAAAGTTGGCAATAGCAGTTGATAGTATGAAAGCTGATTTGGGGAAAACAAATAGGAAAGCACGTGCTTTTTAATACTAGTTCTGAGATGTAGCAGCAGTTACTTAATGTGTCCTCAGACATATGAAAAACAGAACAAAAACATACATATCATTTTCACACATCCACAAAGAAAAAAACAAATTGGAAGATCAGCGAATATAATTGCATTACATCTTAGATGTACCCACACGTTGTCTAAGTCCTCATGGCACTGTGGCTAAGAGCACTTTCAGGGTTTCATTCTGTATCACCTCATTATTTTCACTCATGCTGTCTCCATTCAACTGAATTGTCACCCCCAAATCTTATCTATCAAAGTGAAAAGGTAAACTGTTTTATTATCCTGAGATGTTTATGGTGGTTCTGTTGCTTCACTCTGAAATCTCTAAGGAATTGTTATCCATCTGAAAAGAAGTGACTTGGATTTCCCCAGCATATATTTCAAGAAGGAGTTAATTTTTATTGACCTGATAAAGCTCTGGAACTTTGAACTAGTTTTACTCTTACTGCAGAACACAGCCTCACACTGCCAGTTATTAAGGCAAAATGCATGTCCACACTGAGGGGGTGGATGAATACTGAGGGGTGGAATTTTAAGGAAAAGATGTCATTATCTCAAGGACTGGGAGTTCTTCATGGTTAATTTTTTTCTTTTCTTTCTTTTTTTTTTGTTTTGTTTTTTTTTGTTTTTTAAAGCAAAGTTAAACCACCTCCACAGATTTCACCCAGCAAGTCGGTGGGCGGAGAATTTTGCGTGGCTGCAGTGTTTGGGACGTCCAGGTCGTGGTTTGCAAATAACGCTGGTCTGAAAAGAGAAAAAGGTGGGTGTCTCCCTGAGGGCTAAATGGGCCTTTGGTAATATTTGTTTCTCAAAGAAGATTCATGGCTTTTCTCCTTGTAGTCTGAACCCAATATTTTAAGCCAGTTTTTCCATCCAGTAAGCATGTTCCTCTCAGTTGCTGAAGCCTACTCATGAAGAAAGGCCCTCCTCTCACTGTAGCTGTTAAAGACGTAGCCCACTGAGTGTTTTTGTTTTGCTTTGTTGGTGGCAGTTTACAGGTGTTCTCAATGCTTGTCAACTCCATACCATTATATGTATGCAGCTTCTACTTTTTTTTTTTTTTTTTGACAAGCTAATTTCACCCCTACTCTGAGGTGTGGAGAGGAAAACCTTTTCTCTGTTTAAGAGATGAAATGAACTTGAGGTTAGTGAGTTTAAATAGCTAAAAGCACTAGTTAGTAAGTGATGGTATCAGAGTTTGAAAAAAAAATTTTTTTTTAATGTTAAATCTGAGAACAGGCAGACAGCTCTAGTGACAGGCAGACAGCTCTAGTGGGGTGGGAGGGTTGTTGGGATAGTGGTGGAGGGATTGAGAAAAAGAGAGAGAGAGAGAGAGAGAGAGAGAGAGAGAGAGAATATGAATGGTGTAGATTGTGGGGGTTGGGTGGTGGAGACTGGAAGAGGGCATAGAGGCCAAAAATGGTGATAGGGAAAAAAATCAACAAGTTTGCCATCCTATATAATAAAGAGGTAATATGCAAATTGACCATCACTCCAACACCCAAGATGGCCGCCCCCATGTGGACATAAGATGGCCACCACAAGATGGTCAGCAGGGGAGGGCTGTTGGGAGGGATCAGGCCAGCAAGGGAGTGCAGTTGGAAAAGACCAGGCCTACAGGGGAGGGCAGTGGGGGTGATCAAGCCTGCAGGGGAGGGAAGTTAGGGGTGACCGGGCCGGCAGAGGAGGGCAGTTGGGGGTGACCAGGCCTGCAGGGGAGGGTAGTTGTAGGGGACCAGGCCTGCAGGGGAGGACAGTTATGGGGGAGCTAGGCCTTCATGGGAGGGTAATTGGGGGAATTAGGCCTGCAGGGGGAGGGCAGTTTGGAGGGACCAGGCTGTCAGGGAAGAGCAGTTAGGGGCAATTGGTCCAGCAGGGGAGTGGTTAGGGGGTGATCAGGCTGGCAGGCAGAAACTGTTAGGAGCAATCAGGTAGACAGGCAGGCAGGCGAGTGGTTGTGAGCCAGCAATCCTGGATTATGAGAGAGATGTCTGACTGCCCATTTAGGCCCAATCTCAGTGTGGGGGGATCCCCGATTGGAGAGGGTGCAGGTTGGGCTGAGGGACATCGCCCCCGCCCCCTGTGTATGAATTTCATGCACCAGGCCTCTAGTACTATAAACTAAAAGTAAAAAAGTAGGCTGCTGCTCAGAAATAACAGTCATCTTTTATGGTAACCATTGCTCCTTTGAATTCATATAGTTATTTAAATTTTTTTTTTTTTTTTGTTATTGTCAACCCTCATATTTTTTTCTATTGCTTTTTAACGAGAGTGTAAGGCGGGGAGGGAGAGAGATGGAGATATCCAGAGTTAGAGGTGTGAGAAAAGACATCAGTTGGTTGACTCCCCCATGTGCCCTGACTGGGTACATGCCCTTCAGCCAGAATCGAAGAGGGCCGACGCTTCAACCACTGGGATACACTGGCTAGAGCAAATTTATAGTTTTTTTTCAAACCCCCCCCTCCTTTTTTTTTTTTTTTTTTATCATCAGGATCAATACCAAAAAAGCGTACATTAATTACTATTTATTGTGTGATGGCTGATTGATTCTGTGTAAAGGAGAATCCCTACATTTGATGGACCACGAATTTCATTGTGAATAAGCTTTTCCCTCATTTGAGTCCTATTGAAGTAGGTCACGTTGCCATTATTAGTGAGGCACTGCTTTGAAGGGTTCCAAGGGCTGCATTGTTCTTGGCTAAACGAAACGGGCCCTCCGTTACACCTAATGCTGGCAATCAGACGTCAGCCCCTCCCCTGGTTATCGCCTGGCAGTGCCCCTCTCCGGGGAAATAGGATCTCCGCCATAGCAGGTTCCTTACCTGAGTGGGAGAGGATACAGCACAGAGTGCCAGCCTTCCATTTCCTTATCCCATCTGTATTTTTTTGTTACCTCTGTAGCTTTACTGATGCTATCGAAATGACTTTTTGTTGCTAGTTAAAACCCTCTGTGTAGCTCGATTTCAAATGCTTCTCCCTTCTGTTCTAATTACCCTTTTAACTTGCTACGCCTTTATGTCCCACCGACTGGTCATTAGCCATTTTCTCAAATCAGCTGTAATGAATTCCTCTGGCCCAGAGATAAGGTGACCCGCCCAGCATTCAGGAGTGGTTTTCTGTGCTCCTAGGTTTACTGTAAAACCCGAGATAGAGGGCTGAACCTGTTCTGGCACTGAGGACATGTGTCCTCCTTCTAAAGTCATTTGGTTAGGTCCATATTCAGCACCTGACCGTCTTCAAAGTATAACCCCCTCTTCATTTACCTTGGGGGCCAGGGATCCAACTGAGAGAAAAGAAGGAAGAGAATTTGGGGGAGGAGGATGTGTGAGTTTTTTGCTTGTTGGTTTGTTTAAATCCAGAAATGTTAAAGGGAAAGTGAGAAGTTGGGCTGATATCAGCATACAAAGGGCTCAGAGCACTTGAGTGGGTACGTCCTATCACTATTAAGTCTTTGTCCATGCAGAGTTCCTTGTCAGTCAGTCCGTCCCTGTCCCGCCTGATAGCACTCATTTTTCATAATGTGGGACACATTATATTGCAGACAAATACACAAGACTGAAAAATATTGTTGCATTATATTAGAAATCTGAGTATACTTACATCATTCTTACCTTAAGATTTAAAAAATGTTTCGACAGCGTAGAGCCGTAGACATTTTAAAATTCCTTAGCTTATACTTAGTAAGAGACAACTTTTATGCAAGGAGCAGACACCTTACCCATTCTTGGGAACAAAATTTCTGCCTTCTTATTTCCTCTTAGCAGCCTGAGAAGAGATTAGAAGTTCAATAACCTGTACAAACTATTCTGTGCTCCTTTTAGTTCATTATCAAACATCCAGGCTCTATTTTTTTGTTTGTAGATCAGTCCAAACAAGTTGTAGTTGAATCTCTCTACATCATCAGCTGCTACGGGACCTTAGTGGAGCACATGATGGAGCCACGGCCACTCAGCACTGCCCCCAAGATTAGCGATGACACCCCGCTGGAGATGATGACATCACCTCGAGCCAGCTGGACTTTAGTTAGGTAATACCATCTTTCTGTTTTCTTTTTCTTTTTGTTTAAAACATTTTTTAATTTCTTTATTATTTTTTAATCTTTATTTTTGAAAGTATTACACATGCCCCTCTTTAAAAAGTTGTTTAAATTTCAGTAATAGGCTCTTCGGGACTGGTTTTGGCTGTGGGATGGGGACTCTTGGGGTCCTGGCTCTGCCCTTTGGCAGTTGGGTGAGCTGTTTAGGATGAGTATCAGCACATAGGGACTAGAAAAAACAAAACGAAACATTAATTCATAGTGCACATACATATACATTCTGGTCTGCTAATGGGACCAAGTTTCAAATTGTTTAATATCTGGTTATCTTGTGACATCATTGCAGAAAGTATCCACAATCTAACTTAAAGACCCCTCATCTCCAGAGGCCCTCGTCCATGGACCACACTGTGTGATGGGTCTGACTCCCAAGCATTCCATTTTCCACCCCCCTCAGACTATAGCACATGGGCCGTAAAGTCAAGCTTCCATGCAGTTATTATAAAGAATGCATCATTCTCTAAACACAGTTAAGTTTGGAAAAAAATTTTTCTAGTAATATACAATTTTCAGTTTTTTTCTTAACAGCTTTATTGAGGTATAAAATATTAAATGTGTACAATTTGAAAAGGTTTGACATCGGATACAGCTGTGGAAACCACCACTGTAATTAACATTATAAATATATTCATCATCTGCAAATGTTGTCTAATACTTCTTTTTAATCTCTCTCTTCTGCCCCTCTTTATCCCTACCTCTGCCATGGAGCACCAGGCAACCACTATTTACTCTCTCTCACTGTGGATTACTTGATGATGTTTAGAAGATTATATACATGGAATCTGAATGAATATATACATGTTCTTTTTTTGTCTTGCTTCTTTCATCCAGCAAAATTATTTTGATTCTTCCCTGTTGGGGCATGTATTAATGATTTTTTACTTTTTGAAATTGAGACATAATTTACACATAATACAATTCATCCATTTAAAGTAAATTTTCACTAGGTTATGTACCCATCACCACAATCATTTTTCATCAACCCCAAAGGAAATTTGATGATATCCATTAGCAGTCACTCATTTTACTTTCTGTTTCTATCGAGTTACCTACTTAGGACATTTAATTAAAATGGAATCAGACAAAATGTAACCTTTTGCACCTGACTGCCTTCATGTATCATAATGTTTACAAGGTCCAGCCACGTGGTAGCATGTATCAGAACTTTTCCCCTTTTATGCCCAAATAGTATTCCAGTGCATGGATATGCCACATTTTGTTTACCCTTTCATCAGTTGACCCACACTGTCATGTGACTTTCTACTTATCATTAATTATGCTGCTAAGAATATATATATATATATATATATTTTTTTTTTTTACTAATTTCTGTGTGGTCATATTTTTCAGTTGTCTTCCATACATGCCTCAGAGAACATGTCCTTTTGAACTCCCTTTTCCTTGTTTTACCTCTTCTCAGACTTGGGTTTTGTTTTTTCCTTTTTAATTTTCCACATGCTTCCCCTTATTTCCAGTCTCATGCTCACTGAATATAGAGTGCACTGAGGCAGCCACTAAAGGGAAAGAAACTAACATAAATAGATTGGAAGGGTTCCTTTACAGTCATTCCCCATATAGAAGGGTTAAGACTGTAGAAGTATTTATTAAGAATCAGAGTCCTGAGTGGCTGGTGTGGCTCAATGGTTAAGTGTTGACCCATGAACCAAAAGGTCACTCAACTGGTTTGATGCAGTATCCTCAGTAGGAGGCAGCCAATTGATGTTTCTCTCATGAATGTTTCTATCTCTTTCTTCCTCTCTCTTTCTCTCTAAAATCAATAAAAACATTTTAAAAAAGATGAATCAGAGTCATTCTTAAAAGTACATAATCACTAGAATCTTTATAAGCTAATACAGATAGAGACGTTAAATCCAGAGTAAAACCTTTTCAGTGTAGTGTACAATGAATGGTATAGGAGAGACAGAAAATATTGGTCCTGACATGTATGGAAGGAAACAGACAAAAATGGATGTGAAAATGATCCCTTTCCTTTTGACATTTTAAAATACTCTTATATTGATTTTTCAAGGCTCCAGAATTCTTCACTACTGCTTTACTGCACTAAATTGATTTGATCAATAGCTTATTTATCAGGTTATTCATGAGCAGGCAGATCTTATTAAAATTACTGCACCATCATTGTTGAAATAAGTGGTTTATTTTGGAACTCAGATGCTAATTTGTTCTATAATACGTCACCCATGAACATAACTGTGTTTTTTCCTCACCATTTCCCCCTTGCTTTATTCTATTTGAAAATACACACATATTCTGAGAATAGAGAGCTCTAACAATTGTCAGAAATTAGGTAAAATTAGAACTACTTAGTTGTGACATTTGAATTCCACACTTCCTCTCTGTCCAGTATTTTGAATGTCCTGAATGTCTTATTGGGGGGGGGGGGGGGAGGAGGCAGGAGGCATGTTCTGCTTTAAACTGATACTGGCTCTGTGTGATTAGCATGAATCACTGCCACCTTTTTATTCTTTTCTAAGCAGATGGCCTTGTGTTTCAGGTTTCAGCACTCCAACAAGTTCATTTTAATGATTACAAAGATAGTGTGAGTTTATATCAATGTCTGCAAGTGGTGACAGTGATGTTGATTTACATACCAGCTATTAAGCTTAAATATTAATATTCTTCTGCTGTTTCCTTAGAACTCCTCAATGGAATGAATTGCAGCCGCCATTTAATGCAAACCACCCTCTGCTCCTGGCTGCAGATGCTGTACAGTATTATCAGTTCCTGCTTGCTGGCCGTAAGTAGTTCTGTGTTTTTCCTTCTGTAGAGTTATTTTGAGATTTCATCTTAAAATGCTGACTTTTAATGCGACCACACATATTAGCACTGGTCCACCATCCATCGGCCATAAACAATCAGAGGGAGACAATAAGATGTCTACGACAAATATAAACCATAAGATGTAGCACACGTTATATAAACCTCTGCTATCCTTGTTCCCTGGCCGTGAAGTACATGTTATTATGTAAGCTGAGAGGGACTATCTGGTGGGCTCAAAGGTGTTAACAACAACAACAAAAGGATAGTGGTATCTGTATCTGACGTGAAAAAATTAAGTACTTTTCACTGTGAAAACCGTGTTGGCAGATTTTTCTTTTTGTAGAATTTTACTTGTGATAATGAAGTAATGATTGCAACTCCATTGGTTTTTGTACGTCTACTTTCATATCAGAGCCCTTACGTTTATAGAGATTGATCTGGGTTCTTTTGTTACTTGAGAGAATGTACATTGACCTACAAACAGCCTTGTTTATATGGAGGAGGGCATGAAAATACAATTTAGTATTTATCCAGTTTATGGTCATAGAATTAAAAATTCCTCACAATTATAATTAAATTTTGTAGAAGTGACTGGATCCTTAATTTTACTTCATGGGTCTAAGTGTGTGTTTTTAAGAAACTTCCTAAAATTCAACATTGATGTGATTTTAATGGAGTTTTGTTGAATTGAACTTATTATTTCATTTGCTGTATTTATACAGCATGAAGTAAAATATTTTCTAAAACTGTTTTATTTTATGTTTATAATGTGTTACATATTAAACTGAAACAGAGAAAATTTATTGACTTTGCTCTAAAGTTATGAAACTATTATTGTAACGAATAGTTGGCGGTCTTGCTTTCTTATATGATTGAACTCACTGATTTTTCCAGTATGCATTTATTGAGTGATTTCTACATGCCAGACACTTGTAATTTATTTTTTATTTATTTTTTATTTTTAACAAGAGAGCCTCTTCCATGTTAACATGGGCTCTGTCCCACACATGCCGACCGCATGGAGGACGAGAGAGCGAACTTTGCCAAATCTAGGGGTTTTACACCAGTGGTGATGTCACTGCTTTGGCTGATCCTGATTGGCTGGGTGAGGGCTAGGGTACAGTTACACAAAATGGAGGATAACTCCACCCTGCCCCACAGTGGAGTCAGGATTCTAGTCAGAAGTTGGTCTCGCCCTGCCCTGCCCTCTGATTCCCCCCTTGTCTTATGTTGCACGAGTCAAATCATTGACTCAGCCTACTTCCTTTCAGCATAAACAATAAATACAGTTACAAAGACCCTTAGTACCACAGTTCCCATCAGTATAGTCTTCACTGAAGTCCAGGTCCCCTCCCGCAGGCATCAAGTCTCCTCCTGGCCTGCGTGGAACCCAGGCTGGGGATCTCACAGGTGAGGCCGCTAATCAGGCACTTGTAATTTAAAGTGAATAGTATGTTGCTCTGTCCTCAATGAATTCTCTGTCTATCTTGGGAGGTAGGTGTTTAATGAAAAAGTAATATAAAATCAGACGGGCGCATCCATGAAGAGTTAACAGTGAACTATGAGAGCAGTGACTTAAGTTGCAAAAGCCTTTACCAGGAGGGGTTTATGTAAGTGGTATTTTGGTTCAAAAACTGAGTACATGATAGTTGTAAGTTCCTAGGTTATCTAAGCATATATTTAACTCTACTATATGCATTAGAAAAAAACATGACATTTATGTAATATCTAATTAAAATAAGAGAGCATTTTCCTCTACCCTTTATTATGATAATGCAGTCCCTGATGATTCTGTGATTTCTAATCAAAATATATATAATATAATGCATTTCACATGGACCTTTTGAATATCAGGTGGATTAGCAATGGTATAAGAATGAAAAGTCCTGGGTTTCAGTTTCAAACCATTTGTCAATAACTTGATAAATATAAAATATCAATAATAATAATAATAATAATAATAATTACTATTATAAAGTTGTTGTCATGATCAATGAGGTGATGTTAAAGTCCTTTAAAAACTGTAATATATCTGAAACCGGTTTGGCTTACTGGATAGAGCGTCGGCCTGTGGACTGAAAGGTCCCGGGTTCGATTCCGGTCAAGGGCATGTACGTTGGTTGTGGGCGCATCCCCAGTAGGGGGTGTGCAAGAGGCAGCAGATCGATAATTCTCTCTCATCGATGTTTCTAACTCTCTATCCCTCTCTCTTCCTCTCTGTAAAAAAAAAAATCAATAAAATATATTAAAAAAAACACCTGTAATATAATACCCTTATTTTCAAATAGTAGATTTCAGGGCCTTAATAATGCAATAGCTATTCTGGCCACCTGATTTTGACCATGTCCGTTGTCCACTTGATGGATCATTATTAACGCACAGTTTCTTATCTTTTGAAGTGTTACTATAGATGTAACCTAATAGGTCAAGAAATACCTAAGCGACAGGTATTTTGTACTACTTCTGTACATTCTGAGAGTGGAGATACAGAATTCGTCTGGATTTCAAAGTCATGTTCTCTTACATAAAGAAAGGATATGTGATTGAGAATACGCCAGTATATAACACGATTGGAGCAATTAAATATGCACAACAGGGACATTTGCATCAGAGGTACAGCCTGACCCACCATTGGCAAAAGCAGTGCCGGAGCCAGTTAATAGAAAATGCCTTTCCCTGCCCGTCTCTGGAGCCCTTCGTGCAAGTAGAGCCTCATTAAAGAGACTTCCTTATTACCTCCTGCTTTCTCTCCAACGCTCCTCTTGAAACACAGGATACCATAGCTGATGCTGGGGAGTTTTTGGTTTTACTAAGCCATACTGAAAATCACCTCTTATTTCCTGACTTGAAGACCATTAATAAATACACTACAATAAGTATTTTCAAATAGAGTGGTTGGGAGTAAAATTCTAGTTCCAACTTCACAAATGTTGCAAGCATTTTCTTTGGTTCTGGTTGGATCTATGAATCAGGCGAAGACTTGTGCAAACTCTGGAAATGATAGTAATAGTCATAGACAAAGAATGATGTAAATGGAAATGGGAAAGAGTCGTGGTCTCAGGGAGAAGAGATTAGGAAAGCCCACTCTCTTTCCAGCCCTATAATCATAATAGATGCATTGCTAGTTGATAAACTGAATTCTGCCTACGTGGCAGGAGAGCGACTGGTGGGGAGGAAAAGGAAAATCTGCCTGAAACACTTAAGTACTAACTTTAAAGTGAAGTAAGTAAAAGGGCCAAATTTTATATTTGTAACCGTGGTCACATTTTCTACCTCTATTAATTAAATGTAATGGCATAAAATTGAGGATTTGGGATGTATCCCTGAATCATACTAGAGCAGCGGTTGCCAACCTTTCGGGCCTCATGGACCACCAGTGGGCCGTGGAGCACTGGCTGGCAGCCGCTGTGCTCCAGTGCTCCGTACAGAGGGCCCTCTGGAGGCAGGGAGAACTCTTTGGTGGTAGGTCGAGCCTTAGGGATTGCTGATTTAAGTAATTTTTTAAGTAAAAAGTCAGCAAAAGGACATGGTTTGAATAGATTGATGAATTTGAATGTAAGATGGAAATCTAATCTTTATGTAACTCAGTAAAAGTAGAAGTTGATAATTATCACAAAAATGTTTTTTCCTAGATCATACGTAATCTTGGGAATAGTTGATAAAAAGATTATACAGAGGTTAGTATATATTTTCCTAATGCCTTTTCTAAAATAGGCATTTTAATTATGATCCTAAAGTAGATGACCTTTTCCCCCCCTTTTTTTCTTCTAAGTCTGTTCCAGTGCTTCCCCAATTGTAAATTAAAAAAGGGGCATCCTGAATTGACTTAGGGAAAGTTATAGTCATGGGGGGAAATAAAGTTTTCCCCTTATCTTTTAATTAATTGGGCAGCAGCAGTATTTTTAAGTTGCTGACGTTAGATAGCTTTGTTGGGGTGGAGGTCAGACTTATTTCTAAAATAATCCTTGGGTATATAAGAAGTTTTTTTGTTAAGTAGTAACAGAAGGCCATACAACAGAAATACTGCTGATACACAACAGAAAGGTGACTGGGATCCATAGAACTTTCCTGTGTTTTACTTGGAATGTAATTACTTTCTTCTACCTTCAAAAGCATCACGGGAATGGTGGAGAGAGCCTTTGACACAAGATGGAAAGGAAAGAAGAACACTGGAAATGTTTAAAACTGATATCCTTCACACCAATGTGTTCCAATTGGAATTGTGTGTGAAAATAATGTGCTTTGATTTCATTGAGTATTTCTCAAGGTTCCACTTCAGTAGCAGCTCCCCACAAAGATGGAATAACAAGGATCGGTTTACCATCCTGCCTCAAACAACAACAATGAAAACGAGAATATAGTTTAAAGCAACTGTTTTCGAGTCACCGGACATCAGGAGTAAAGGATAGTGATCCTTGAGAGATGGGAAACTAATGGAGTGAGCCCTACAGTTGCCTCCGTTTATTGCCTTAAAGGATTCTCTAGACTGCTTGGGTGATGGGGAATCCAAGTGGAACACAGAGTGGACAGCACTGAGTCCAGCAAGACCAAGGAAGAGTGTGTTTCAGCAAACTACCATGAACTATTATTGTGTAAAAAAGTTTTACTGAAACAGTGACTTCATGATTTAATTTATATATTGTCTGTGGCCACTTTAAAATGATAACCACAGAGCTGAGTAATAGTGCAGAAACCATTTGACCCACGAAGCCCTACATATTTACTATTTGTTAACTCCTTACCTAGAATTAGCTAGACTGGCTATTAGAGAAAATAAGATAGATCAGCACAAAATGAGAATTCTGAACATCTGCAGAGGGTCCTCTTCTAGTACTCAGCACAGGATTGATGGCTGTGGGAAACTACCCAAAGCCAAGGAAACAGCAGCCACAGAGAATCTTAGAGGGCAGAGTGCCTGGAGCCCACACAGGGTCAGGAATGGTGACACTAACACAGTTATAACTAGATTCCATATGT